ATGCGTCGAGTCGATCTGATGCCGGCGGGCATGTCTGGTTCGGGTGGACATCCTTCCCCTCGATACACTGGATCGTGCCCTGTCTTGCAATAGGATGCGTCACCATTGGGATCTTCTCGATCTATCTGGCGGTGTTTAATTATTTGGCCGATACCTACCATCGGTATGCCAGCTCGGCCTTGGCGGCGCAATCGTGTTGTAAAGGATCATGGATGCCCCCTTATTCCCCCCTCCTTTTCCTTTTCCCCCCTTTGGTTTTTTTTTTTTTTTTTTTTTTTTTTTTTTTTGGTCCTAAGGACACTGAATGGGTTTCCTCATGCGTACCCCTTTCACACAGCTTGGTCCAATTGCTAAGTGAAAATTCCTGCACAGGCCGTAATCTCCTTGGTGGCGTATTTCCGCTCGTGGTGCGAATAATGTACGTCAATCTCGGATATCCAGAGGCATCAAGCTTGCTGGGAGGAATAGTATGTCGTTTCCACTTCCATGGTTCCAATTTGTACCCGCCTTATTTCTTTTACCCGCACCCCGCGATGGTCATGTCCCGAACAGATGACAGATTGGTAATACTTACGACTACCAACATACAGGGCTCGTTGCTCACGATTGTCCCGTGGGTTCTTGTGTTCTATGGTCCGAAAATCAGGGCGCGAAGTAAAATCGCAAGTGTAAGTTTGGTACAACGTTTTCACTTCCCATCCTGCCACGTGCCGTGATAATCCCAGTGATTATTTGATGGTTTCTGTAGCGCTGGTTCCTGTTGGCGCCATCACTTGCTAATTGATATTTTTCGTCCCTTTCTCGATTCCAGGAAATTATGACAGAAGACGAACGAGCTGGATAGCGTACATTTCTGGCAATGATTCATGGCTCCCGTAATCATTGTCTTATACATAGGTTACCAAGCGATATTGATCAAATCAGAGCCGCGAGCTGAATGCGCTTATTGTTCCTCGCGGGGTTCGCTACGAGGCGAGGGGATACGTGGTTCTCTGTTTCTTCCAATAATATAACGAACTTTTCATGTCGTGATGTATATATAGAGCCGAATGTATATATGTATGTATATACTCCGTAGATGGCAACATCATAGATTTATAATAAAACAGACCGCGAGAACCCAAGAGAACTGCATATAGCTACACCGTGATCACTCGCACTATTGAATTTTCCAGATCGTCAGATAGATCGAACTTAATCCCCGATCCAATCACCCTTGAGAGCATTGTTAAATTGTATTCTGTACAGTAGATATACTTGTTCCTAATAGCTTCTAGGGTTCTCTATTGTGTACAGGTACGTTGAGGCATTGCCATCCCTGTTACTAACAGTAATAAGAATGGCTGCCATGCTCTCCATAAAGCCACCATCGTAATATTCTCTCCTCATTTGATTTTTCAGCAGCTGATCGCAGTTTCGGAAGCGTGATTCTGATGCGATAGCAGGGCTCGATGGTAACATCTGTGCAGCGCTAGTCGGTATCTGGGCAAGCGCGTTGGCCTAATATAGGCAGTGCCGCCAATGGGCGAGCAGATGATTGGTTGAAATTCATAACGTAATCAGAGCGTCTAAATCCGGCCGACAGAAGCCAATGAGGGAGTTCTGCCGATAAAGCGGTGGCAGATTGCGTGATTGGAAAGTTGTAGCGGGGCGGATGTATATTGACACATTGGTGGGGCAGTGGTAGTGGTGGTGGTGGAGGTGTGTGGTGGAGGTGGTGGTATTGGGGGGGTTCGTTAAGCATGCGAAATTTATAACTTATCATTCAGGGAAACTTCCTCATTTGGTGGTTCTATCTCTGCTTTATATATTACCCCTCCATTCTCTCATCCTGCTGTAGCAACGTGATTTCCTTGCCCTACAGACACCCACGACCTCCACTCTTCGACCATTTTCTTCGAATCTAGAATTACTCACATCCATCATGGCTGAAGAACGTGCTGCTCCGTGAGTTTACCCCTCCATCGCATACCTTGCTGATTCAGCTTGGTCCTTGGTTGTCTTAACAACTGAGGTGTTTTCTTTCAGTCTCCGACTCGGGTCAATTGCCCCCAACTTTAAGGCAGTCATCACAAAGGGTGAAATCGACTTCCATGAATTCATTGGCGATCACTACGTCATCCTCTTCTCTCACCCCGTACGTTCCCATGAGTGAGGCGATGAGGAGACCATTGTCGAGAGAATGATGATGTGGGTGGGGGTTGGTTTTG